TAGAGGGAGGTCCGACGGTGGGCTTTGCCGATAAAGAGGGAGATCCGGCAGGTGCGGCTCGAGAAGAGAGGGGCAGGCGACGTACAGGATAGGATTGAGAGAGACAGAGAGAGCAACGTGTGGGTTAGAGATAGGATATAATAGAATTTTTTTTATTTTATTATTACATTACATTATTATTACATAATAATAATAATAATAATATTATTATTATTATTATTATCATTCCATCATTTTTCGTCCGGACACGGCCTCGTGGTGAAATGAATGTTCACCTTAGATAAAATCGACGTTCTAGATGCACTCGTGCTGTGCGTTTCGTCATCTGAGTCGTTCGGACCACGTTTTCGGCGATTGGGTAAAAAACGATAATTTGCACATTTTTAGCCCGTCCTTGAAACAATAGCGAAGTGGACATCATCACTAAGTGAAATCGACATCTCAGACGCACTCGTGTTATCTGTTTTTCATCCCAGGTCATCTGAACAAGCTTACTGGTGGATGGGCTAATTTGAGCCAGTTTCCGGCACGACGCGACAAGTAACAGCTGTTGGCCCGACCGAAGCCATCTGAGGCACGAAATGCCGACCAGCTTCACCTAGGCGAAAGCCAAAACCCAGTAAAATAACTCTGGCTACGTGCCCCTCACATGCACCGAATGATCCTGGGTGGCTGTCTAGACTACGAGATGTTACAGACAGATCGTTAACTATCCTGAGTCATGTAGGTGATCACCCTAAACTCCCGCGGACAAAGTTACGACAGTCTCCAACGCCAGCACCAAACTCCAGCCAACCTCAGCTCTACCGCGTGTCGAGGCAACATCGACGACAAGCTCCCTTTCGTGTCCGACCGCGAGCCCTTTTTTGTGTTTTCTTCGTCTCAACCGGCCACTTTCCGACATCTCCTAGTTGGCGACATCCAGCCGGCCTCCTTCCTTGCCGGTGTTGAGCTCGTGACAAACCAACCACGCTCCAGGACACAGCCTCAGATTTTGCACGCTATTCCTTGTGTTTTCCATTACGCTTGGGTGTTGCTTACGTTCTAGCTCAACCGCTTTGTCGTCTTGCATTTCCGGTGGTTTGACACTTCGCCGGAAGACCTCGACGACGCTGAACAGCAAGCGGCGTCGCTGTTCGAGGAGCAAAATCTTCCACCTCGCTGGAAATGCCTCCGGCGGCGCTTCTTCTCGCCGGCATTCTCGTGGGTTCCCCTCCTTTGCCGACGTAAAGCAACCCCTCTCGCTAAGGTATATATTTCGTTATCATTTTTATATACTATGATTATTTATTTTTGTGTACTAGTATACATGATTATGATCTTTCTCGTATTTTATTGCGAGATTCGTTGGAAAGTTAATCTCTCTTGCCCTTATTACATCCCGTCTTAATTCGTTGCGATGTACAGACCCGTGGTCGTATTAGCAAGAGAACGAGCTTGGAGCAAAAAAAAAGAACGCGTCTGCAATAGCCTCAGTGTATAGATTCCTCTGAAACTCATCGTCAGCCTTAGAATTAGTGGTGTCTAGGCGTATGGGTTTGAAAGCCCACACGGGGTTCGTGCGCAGTGTGCGTCGGCGCGTCGACGTGCATATGTGATTGATTGTCAATTTCTTAGAGGGAGGAGGTCATAGGTTAAGAATCTCATGCTTTGGTCACTCCTATTTTAAGCCGAGCGATCCTCCATTTTGTTTGTCTTAGACCTTGATCCCCAATAGTTGAAATCCCAATTTCCCACGACCCCTTAGAGGGATTAGTTGAGTTCGATCTTAGAGAACGAGAAAATTTTTGTATCTAGTCCGTCCTGTAAGAACGTGGGCGTTGGTAGAGCGAAAAAAGCTTTGTAGCTAGTTCGCCCTACGAACGTTGAAGAGTTTCTCATATGAGAAATCGAAGGGGGAAGCCCTCCACATTGCCACGCCAAAGCTGGAGGCGGCGATGTCGCGAATACAATAGTGTCAACCCTAGGTTTCCTAGGTGAAGTCACTAGCACGAGTCTGGTTGGCTATCTATATGTTGGTTTGTTTCGTATTGCACTCATTTTTTTTTGCATGTTAGCATTTCACTTCACTTCAACCAGTCGCCTCAGTCCGGTGAGCATCTCACTTTGCTCTGACCGGTCGCCACGGCCTGGTGAGCATCTCACTTTGGTCGGACCGGCTGCCCCATCCAGGTTAACCGTGCACTTTGGTTTGTTTGTCCACCACGACCCGGTCAACCAGCCACTTGCACCAGTGTACGTTTTGTGTGTACATATACATGTTTGTTTGCATGTTTACATACCTATATTGCATATCCTCAGGCCACTACCGCCACGACACACTTTCTTAGGGTCGCTGCCTTCACGACACGCCCATCTCTTTTGTTCTCTGCAGTCTCGTCACACCTTCCTCGGGTCGCTGCCACCACAAAACGTCCATCTCTGGGTCATTGCCACTACGACACACCCATTTGTTAGGGTCGCTGCCTCCACGGTATGCCCATCTTTTCCTGAGTCACTGCTCCTTCTGTCACATAACTATCTGCACTTGTATTTACATGTTTACATACGTAACGAGTTAGGCTCGTAAGGAGAGTAATCCTGTATCATGTCTAAACGAGTATTGCTTCCTGGGTCGATCCCGGTGAACAAAGCGAGTTAAGTCATCGGGATTGACACAAATATAATTGTACTAAAGTTTCAATTGATAAAACCTGTGTCACCTCTCTTCGTGACGCCCTTTAAATCCTTCAGATCTTTATGACGGGACCGGCATGATGACCTCATCAAAGTCATACTATACCCAGACTTATCCCACAATTAAATACTAGGCTAATGCACTTTCAAGGTAAATGGTGTGTCAGGCTAGGATTTAAGTTGCTAGGAAGTCTTTTTGATGTCTGTCTATTATTCTTTGCTGGATTTATTGTCTTAGCTAGACATCTTTCTTTTACATTCTGTTTGTGGTGTGACTGTATGTTGTATATGTATGGTAATGTGTTAGAACGTTTTTTTACAGGCAGTCATGTCTCTATGTGCACACACAGGTACGGTTATGGCAAGAGCAAGTAATGATTTCTAACAATTTGTTTGCAATGGCTATTTAGCTCCCCTCTTATAAGACATGGCTCATTATACGTTATATGCATGCAATTTTTCCCGCTAACATTCATTTTCATACAACATTGAGTCATTTTCTTTTTCTATGTACTTTTTAAAGTTAATGAGAGTCTTGTAGCAGAAATAAGATACAAACACGGGTTCCGAGGAGTTTGACGCAGGAATCACATGGAAAGGACCATGAGCCGAGTCCGTGCCCCATATCTTAATTCTGTATTTTTAAATTAATGTATAGAATTATGTCCGGACATGTATATGCGGAGTCCGACCGTTTTTTTTCTTTTCTGCAATATGTTGTCGATCTAGCGGTAGCGGTGTTTCCTATTATTTTGATTTGACTTGTTTTACTTTTGTGACATGTATGCATGCCTATATGAATGTATGTGTGTATATTTTCGTTGTTTCTTTCTGTGATATAGGATTTCACGATGCAATATATGATCTTTAGAATTTAAATTTCTAAAACATTTTCTACAAAATCATAAATAAAACATTCAATAAAATAAAATTTTGGGATCAAAATATTCTTGATTTTAAAATTGCACTTTTATTTCTTGCATATACTAATAGGACCTCTATAATTCTTAAGGATCATTCTAGATAACTGCATTCATAATTTACATGTCCCGATGAGAAGTTCTCGTGGTTCTCCAACCTGACTAGCCCAACATACCTTTTATATAGATGGTTATCTAGTGCACATGGGGTGTTAGAAGGCTCCCCGACCTAGACGGGGTATAAGTCCTTTTGTTTTGAGTGTTTCCAGCTTTGTAGCTGAACATCCGCTTCCCTTCCTTTCCTGAGACATCCTTGCTACTGGCAAGTGTAAGTCTCACCTCTTGGAGCTCCAACTTTTAGTCATAAGATAGAGCTTTCTTCCTCTGACCTTAGGGATACCGACTTTCAGGCGAACGACGCAATTCACGGATTACTGATCGGGAATTTCAAAATATGTTGGGTCGACTACCTTCACGACCTAGTAGACTTAGGTACTAGTAGCTGTGGACGACGGGTTTGTGGTATCCCGACCCAGCTAATTCTATCTTCTAGGATTACTCTTCCTTCTTTTTGTTGAGCCATGTCGTTTCTTGACTTCTTCAATATCATCTTGATGGTCTGGGGCAGTTGAGCTGCCGCTCGGTTGGATAAGAAAATTTTTCCTCTGCCCTTATGACTTGGCCCTTATGACTTGGACGTCCTTCAACGTGTTGGGATATACCCGCCAAGATGATTTATGGTTATTACGTGAGTTTCGTATGTCATTGAGTCGCTACTCTTTCGGGATGTGAGATACTCTTTGCCCACTTACTTAACATGAGCTTTGAAGCATCGAGACTTTTCCCACACGAAATAACTTTCCTTTGAATAACTATTACCTCAGGTTCACAATAATATAAGCGAAACTCCTTTTATTGACAGTATTTTTTGGTACCCCCAATATGTAATTAATCAAGTAAGATATGTTCACTTGGGAGTGCTCTTGACCCCAGAACAGACACCTACATTTGACTCTTGTTTTGGGTAGTTTACGTAGGCATTCTTTCTCGGATATTGGTCCAAGAAGCATCCGCCCAAACAAGGGCCGTTCATATGACCCGAAAGAGAAACTTATTTGCGAAAGGGAAATATACGACGATCGAAAAACTGACGACTTCTTCTAAAATAAAAGGGAGAAAAACGAACGAAAACAATTACTTCGTTGTGTGCTCCAATACATATTAACATTTGTAACTTTGTGATTGATTTCTCAGAGGAATTATCAAATTGCATTATGGATTCCTCATCCTCATTTATGGATTCTTGGCTGTAACTCTACATCCACTCCTCCACTCTTGAAGATGAAATGCTGACTTTTCTATCTAGAGAGCCTTGGATACGTATACTGACATTATCGCTTGTACCTTCATCTTCAGAACTCAAACTAGAAGAGGCTTCTGAAAGTGTTTCTCCTCTCAAAAGTGGATTGAAGTCCAGGTCATCCTCTTCTTCGTCCTCTTGAACTTCCATATGCATATTATCACCCATGAGCACAATGTTTCCAGCTAAAAACTGTGGTTGGCTTGATTCATATGCCCTGCCAGTTTAAGGTAGCAATTATATTATACTACATCACACGAGTCTACTTAAAAATCATAAAAAAGATGCATTATCAAGGAATATAAAAAAATTTAGTTTGCAAAAGGTTCCAACAAACAGTGCATGTTCAAAATAAAAGCTCATGAAAGCAACAGTTACTGTGCATTAATAAAATGTAGTTTCCAAAAGATGAGTACAAAAATATATAAATTCAATAAACCGCAAAAAAAATAAATACAACAATTATGCACTTCAAATTACTTGAACTTGCAAAGGAAAAATATAATATAAATGCTTAAATAATAGGCAAAACTAAGAACAGTACCATTATCGATAAAAAAACACACTAGTTAAGTTGGAGTAGTTGCTTTATCATTTCTCAGTCCAAAACTGTTATTTTTCAAACGCAAATCTAAAAAAATAATAATAATACCAATAGAAAATTAAGCAATTTAACAAATATAAAGAGCCATCATGTCATACAATCGGTAATCACCCAGTAACAACACAGTCAAAACTATATTAATTACAAAGCATAAAAGAGTTTATTATATTTCAATATCATCAACAAATGCTTCACCACGATATCACATTGATCTCAGCTAGACACCCATACGTGCAAGAATTATTTATGCCTCAAAAACTGCAAAATCTTAATAAAATATTTTAAAATATATAAGAAACTCTGCCAGTCAAATAAGCAAGAGGCTAATAAGAAAAAGAATTCAGGCAAAAATTACAAGATGAAAATGAAGCATCTATCCAGCGAACACAAACGAGTATTAAAAATATTTAAAATCAAATGTGGTTATAACAGATAACTGATGAAAAAATTAAAAAAAGAGAAAATTATATACATAACACACAATTCGTGTATATTTAAATATCTAAGACCCGAAGTTTGATATTTACGCTCATAACACATTGCTGCCATAAGACTATGCATGAAAAGGTGTATTTCACTTTTAAGAAGATAGTGATGGCCCTTTTCATATGATGCTATAGATTTGAGTAGTATGCATGTAAAAAATGAATCTTTAGGCGTTCGATATGTAAATACATAGGAATTGAGTGGTATGTATGTAGATGCCACCAAAAAATAGGGCTTTGAGTTTGGGAGTGAATAACTATACTAAAAAAATATAAATAATGGAACAAAGATGTGTGACATTGTAATGAAATTTAAAAAAGAATAAAAGAACAAAATAGAAGTTATTCATGTAGTGCTTCCGAAGATTCATGGGATCATTCATACAAAACAAAGAATAGTCTGAGCTGCCAAAAAATGTGAAAGATAGAATGGAGCCGCAAAAGTTTCCAAAATGGCCAGAAAACTCTCTCAAAAATGAAAAATTTGAACTTCTACCAGGGAGGAAGGATGGCATGATTAATATGAAATTGAATTTGATATGTTCCTCCCAATGTTTCGTGGAATTTGGGTATTTCCATGGATCCTTCTTTCTGAATATTGCATGATCTAAATATGCTTCTCCCGTTGTCCCCGAAAAGTCAAGTATTTCCACTTCTGAGATATTGGGTGTTTGGTAGCATTTTTTTAACCGGATTTAACCATGAATTTAACATAAATCCTGCCAGCACTAAAGATGTGAAATTTAAATCCCGTGCTCCAAAAAATCGAATATATGTTGGTTCCGTCTAATTTTCTACGTAAATTTGGATTTACTCAATCTTATTCATGGAGAGATTTAAGAGCATTGGCTCATGAGCATTTCACTGTCAAAAAATTGATTTGATAAATCCAAATTTATCGGATCCGATTTAGAGTAAATTCGGGATGCAACCAAATACCGCCTTAAGATTTGGTTTAAAAAATTAGGGAGAATTACATATGATGCATACTAGAAAATTTGCGACAGTAGAGTAACAGACTATCATCTTAGCGTTGTACGAAAGTTCAGCACACACACAGATGAAAGAGAAACAAGTGGTGATAACTCCAAAAGTTTTTGCGTGAAAAACCTGTAAGGGAAAAACCACGGGGTCTGGCCGAGTTGCGGAAATCCACTATTGATTGTTGATTACAGGAATCCCTAGTCCCACAGACGGGAAATGGTAACTATATCTTTTAGATTACAACGTCGACTGACAGCGCCTGGTTAGTGGTGATCGATGGTGGTTAGTGGTAGTCGATGACGGTTGTCAGAAGTTGACGACGGTCGGCGGTGGTCAACGGTGGTCGGCGGTGGTCAACGGTGGTCGGCGGTGGTCGACGACGGAGGTCAGCATTGGTCGACGACGGAGGTCGGTGGGGGGGCCGGGCCGCAGCTTACCCTTCAGACCTCAGACTCTCTCTCTAGACTTCAGTGGGGGTCTATTTATAGTGTTTTGGGTGCAATTAATGCAAGAATATCAACCATTTTGATTGGGCGGTCCAGAGAGTTTCCTCTCATCATGCCGCATTTAATGGATATTTGAGTGTCTTAACGATATCAAAATTGAGTGATATAGGACTCGTTGGATTCGTCTTATCGAGCATCTCGATTCGAGCATAAACTTGTCAGTGTCGACATCTGTTTGATCTTCCAAATGTATCCAGAAATCTTCCAATAGTGGTTTAATGACTTGATCTGAGCTTGATTTGACTCAGATTGGACTAGTTTTCATATCATTAGGTCCGTCTCATCGAGTCGGTCATTTTGACAATAAGTTTGCTGAAATCGGAGCTCTGAATGACTTTTTATCAAGATTTAAATGTTTATTGCTTAAAATACCGTCTTGAAAATTGTGATATGCTTTGAGATTCGTGCCAGATGATGAAAATTTGTTGGTGACTAATTAACATACATACCTCAAAATTCTTTTGTATTTAAATATCTACAAACTCATTCTTAATGCATATTTATATAACAACTTGATCCATAAATTACTTCAAAAACACCGCTAACTTATCTAATGTGAAATACAGATTTTGTGATTTAAGCACTTATGTCTCATACGAGTAAATATAAATATTTAGAAATCAAATACATGAGAATTTTGTGGAATGTGCGTAAATCCCTCGTATAGATTCCAGGTTTTCTTCCTACAAAAGCAAATTTAGCAAAAATAAAACCCTAACCTGCGTGTTAACGGATTTAGAGCAGGTTTTACGCTGGATTTAACCTAAAAAATATTGCCAGCCTGTCATTTTTAACAACATAAAGCCTCGGATTCGATAGATCCCGAATTTATTAAATCCCTTGAATCGGTGGATTTAGTAAATCCGGGACTGACGATTCGCGCGAAAAAGAAGAAGTGAAGTTACCTTCCTCAATGGTTTCGGGTAGGAGAGGAGCTGAAGGAGGAGGAAAATGGGTTCGGATCTCTGTAAGCCACAATCCCTTCGTAGCGTTCCCAGCTAGCTCCAATGGCGTGAGCTCGGTCACGAAGGCCATGGTTTTGAACGAAACAGAGAAAAGCGAGGGATATGCGAGGGTTTCGAGCTGAAGAGGAGTGATTGTACTCGAGGTGTCCTGTGGTAATTATTTAATTTAATTTAATTTATTTATTTTAATTGATTAATAAATAATAATTATTTAAAATATTACCCGCTTAATTATAATTAAATAAAATTATATCTATTATTTAATTATTAATCAGTAAAAAATGAATATTAATTTTTTATTTAATCACTAAGTTTATAGGTAATTTATTAATTAATATAATTAAAAACTAACTAATTATCTTTATAGATGTTAAATTTCTATTTAATAATTAAATTAATAAGATGTCTTAAAAATTATTTAGTTTAATAAATATGTAATTATTAATTATTATAATTTGAAATATAATATTAATTAAATTTAAGAAGCCAGTAAATTTTGACTATTTTGAAATGTTTACCAAGCCAATTGTATTGAATCTACTAAATCCTACTGTGATTTTTTTCTTAAAGCCTATAATTGATTTTTAAATTTTGGCAAAAACTGACAAACTTATTATAATTTTTGATATTCAACCCTTTTAGAATTTATTAAATCTGAATTTATAGGATTTATTTGATCCTACTAAATTAAATCTCATTCATTGGCAACAAAGATTTAGAAGAATGGAACACTATTTTCGATCGAAGAAGTTTTTAACCAAAATGGCTCTCAACTCGTTTCATGGACATGCAAAACAAAAGTTTAAGCCTTAGAAGATATAAATGCCTAATTTATCTAAATGCCTATGAAGACAATCAAAATTTAGATTCCCCATAATAACATACAAGGAAGAAAAAATCTTTATTGGTCAATGGATTGAGACCACTACAATTTAATTGGAGGACAATAAATTTTTAATGATGATTAGGGCCCGTTTGGGGTAGTTTATAAGTGCAGGTAACGTTTTCAAAACGTCGCCGTACCGTTTGGTTCGTGCGTTTCGTCAGCTTATCCAAAATCGCGTTTGGGCCCGCGGGCTGCGTTCAGGATAAGCGCACAAGCTGTCCTAAACGCACCCTAAGAAAATCAACGATGAAAGCCCAAATTTTAGAGAAAGCGAAAGTTTTATTTTTTTTTATTTTATTATTTTATAGGAGCAAGTTCTAAAAAAATGTTGGTGATTCTTACATATTGGGATTTCTTTTAATCATACTTCCATCAAGTTTATTGCAAATATCAATGTACATATAATGAATAACTTCATTTAGGATAGGCCCCATTAGGATTTTGGCGTTATTGGTTTTTTTTTTTTACTTTTATTTTTTTTTTAACTCTAGAGTACCTTATAAATTATTTATTTATTTATGTTTGCAATATCTTCACGAAAAACTAAAATGTATAAATATCACTTTGCCGCCATAAAAATTCTTTTAAAAAACTTGATTCGATATATCCTACAATCTTACAATCTAAGAATAATTTAGATGTATATATTTTTTAATTCCAACCTTATTCCTTATCTTTTTTTTATTATTTCAAGTAAGAAAGTAATTGATTTTAAGGCAAATAAGTTAACTAAGAAAGTAATTAAAAGTTTTAGCATTTTAATTATTAAACTTTAATTAAATAAAAAATGCACAAATGCATTAGCTGGTGGCATATTACATAAACTTATAATTAATTAGGCATTTAAACATAGCTAATCATATTTTCATTTAAAAACACACTTAAAAGTAACATTTGCTAGTAGCAATTTCAAAACCACTTCAAGTTTTAATAAAGTATAACAATGTTTACCATTACTAATCAACAATAATTTAACTGCTTTCATTAAAAGTAATTAAAATCAGATTAAAAAAAACTTAAAAGTCAACAATTAGTCATTCAAATTCCCTACATTTATTAAAAAAAAAATCATTTTAAATTGAGGAAAAAAAATAGCATCTTTTAAATACATTATCTATGTATAAATCAAACAAATGAGTTATGGCTTGTTGCCCCATGTCCGGCCCATATCATATAACATTACATGTATCATATTTTATATAATTAAATATTATAAAATATAAATGGATTATAAGTATATAAGAATATGCAGCAGCAACAAGCAATCTCTTCAAGCCTTTCCTCGCTGTCCAGACAACAAAGGAAGATGAACAGCAAATTTCTTCACACCCTCACCCGCATATTTAGTTGCATAATACCATTTTGTAGCCTAAAAACATGAAACTTTGTTGCTCAATTAAGTGTTAAATATACTAAAAAAAGTGCTAAAAAATTAATTAATTAACTTTACAGTGTTAAGATAGAAATAGAATGCCACCATGACGAAGTTATCATCTAGAAATGTCACAAATTCAGCTTTTTTTAGGAAGTGTTCAGTCTAAGAAATGGACATTAAGCATTTTCTTAGCCTGATCTCTGATTTGAGTTTTAATGTAGCATGTATAATAGAAAAGAACATTTGCATACATAGCACACAATTCTTATGTACTTACAAATCTCACAACTAAACTTTCATATCTACACACATAGCACTCAAATATATAATATCATTGCCACTCTTTAAAAGTGAAATACACATTTTCATGCAATAGGTTTAAAGCACCAAAATGTAAAGTTTGTAAATATGAAAGATTACGTGTGAGATATATAAATACATAAGAATTGTGTAAATTATGTAAATTTCCCTATTAGAAACTCAGGAATTATTTAATTAGAGATGAATTAAATGTATCTAAATATTATTTTGGGACATTTTTAAAAGTTAAAAAAGTGATATCTTTCATGTCTATACATGTTTATATATCTAAAACCTAAACTTTTCTTTTTACAGTTTTAACGCTCAAATCTTTCATGTCACGTAGAAAATATCACTATTTTAACTTTTAAAAATACAACTTTACCTGCATAGGTAAAGTGACATGTGTAAAAATTTAAATTTAGATTTCAGATGTGTAAATGCATAAGAATTGTGTGGTATGCATGTAAATATTACTTTTTTAACATGTTCATTATAATGTAATTTTTTTTTTTTCGGTTCTCAAACCCTTCAAAATTTCGCTTTTTCTTTTGCTTCAAATCAAACCTCACAAAAGTTAAAATGCAAGGAAATGAAATGCACTTCAAGCTTTCTACATTGCAGATACAGCAACTCCTATAAAGAAGAAAATCACTACTGTTGTTTTTAAAGAGGATTATTGTTACCTTCTGCTTTCTATATTCTTGTTTGGATGAATCTAAGAGAAATGCTTTCAAGAGTTTGCACAGTTCCTTTGGCTTCTCGAGATTAACAGCATGACCTGCGTTCTGGATGACTTCAAGCTGGGAGTTCTCCCCTAAATGCCTGCAGAATTTTAGTGTTTCAGCATAAAATTATATCAAAGGAACCCACAGCAAAAATATTACGTTTTTGGGATAATTACATCCATTGCTCTTTAAAAATTACAATTTACAAAATCAGTATTTTTGAGCTATCGAAAAGACGCATTTTAGTGCGCAGTGATCAAACTGTGAGAATTTGATGATTGTGAGTTTTGATGCTCGAGTGAGAATTTGAAAAATGGATGAAAAAGAGTAGAATGTTTCTAGTGATATATGAACGAAACGAGTGCTATGCATGTAAACAGGGAAGTTTAGATGTGAGATACGTGAATCCATAAAAATTGTGTGCTACGTATGTAAATTTCCTAAAAATATAGACAGAATTTTACATATTGTTTGTGCTTAACTGACTTTTTCAATCTGTACCCCAACTCCAACGGAAATATCTGATCTTTCTCTCCCCATATAATCAGGGTTGGCTGCATGGACAAAGAAATCACTCATAAGTCGTTAAATTGCTCAAGATACAGAATTAATTGGAACATCGAAGAGATAAAAAATCAAACAAATATTTAAACATTTAAAGAAATATTGCAGCTTATGTTTTTATTGAAAATTACATTGAGAAAAAGTATCTTCACCAGTAGGATACTCCACCCAAGCTATAGCCTTAGGTACTCCATTTGATTTTAACGTTCTTAAAACTATGTCTCTTCCAAGAGAAAATATTACATAGGGTTAAACGTATGTACGACAACGGCAACGGTCCAGATGAGTGCAGGAGTGCAGAAAAAAAAAAAAAATCATACTCAAGGACTTATGTATATTGGCACCGCTGTTCGTACATACGTCACCTCTTCCACCTGGTGTAGCGTGTATTTGGATCCTCTACAATTGGAATTCTAACCGAACAAAAATGGCAATCCTGGCCATCCAATTCACTTTAGATGGCCAGAATTCTCTGTTTGAAATCTCAGGGATTTCAACGAGTGTCACAGGTGTAAATTTACTAACTAGAAAGGATCCAAATCAGGTTGCACCAAGCGCATAAGAATGTGGCATGTGTAGTATCAGAACAACAGGTTACTAAAGGAGAGCAATAACAGCTCACCTGAGAAATCTTTGGAAGATCTGAAAGTTTTCTGTCCCTGATTAAAGCGAAGATTAATTCCCTCTTCTCATCCACATAATCCGTGCACATTACCTGTCAAGGAGAACAATCATTCATTGAAGGGTTCAATAAATAGAATGTCATTTACATGTTTTATTGAGCAGACTTCAAATCTTAAAACGAGTGGTTTCTAATAACTAGAAAAGTAAAGCATGTTTAGTATTTGGTACAATCAAACCTCGGACGTAATTAGATTTTCAACGAAGAGCATGCATCTTCTGAAGATTTTGATGAGTGGAAACAACCAGGTGTTCTCCTGTAATCTTTTTATAACGAAGGCCTTTATCATTTACAAATTTCCCATCAATGGTTCTCATTATAAACGGGATTTATACTTAATGTTTTGTTTGCTACTTGCTCTTATTGGGCTTTTTTAGTTCAATAACAACAACATGCCTTCATGCCAGAGAGCGGGGTAGCTTATATATATAATTTAATTTTATATTTATATATATATGACTTATATTTACTGAGCAAAATAAATTCTTTCATAAATTTCAATGAAATGAGGAGCTTATTTTTTTCATTTGAGTGAGAGCATCCTCGTGACTTATTTATTAGAGTATTGATCAAACTATTTTTAATGGGTGTTGATGGTTCATAAGCATAAATTTGTGTTTTTATAAGGTAAATACAATCAATACAGGAATGCATCAAGTCTATTGTGTGATAGAACTTATCGCTTAAAGTAAAATTTTATAGGATAGTGGTGCGACTTGCAGTGCTTTATGCATGGCGCAGAATGTCGGCCTATAAAAGAGAAGCATAAAACTATGTTAAATGTTGTTGAGATTAGAATACTTAGGTGGATGAGTGGCATACAATATTAGAGAGAGTCGCCTTACATGGTTCAGTCACATTAAAACCATCTAATGATCGGAATAGTAGAGTAGATGCTTTAGATTTGACTTGTGATGAGAATGGTAGAGTTAGAATTAAATGACCTCCTCATATTGTATAAAAAAATGATCTTAATTTATTAGAATTAAATGAAAAAAATGAAAATATGAACAATAGGACACAATGGAAAAAAAAGATTCATGTAGCCGACCACACTTAGTGGGAAAAAAAGGCTTGTTGTTGTTGTTGTTGTATACTGAAAATTTTGTTTGCTACTTGCTCTTATTGGGCTTTTTCAGTTGAAGAGAAAAAATACAACATATAAAATTTACTTATATATATCTTTGCTTACCTTTAAGAGTTACTGACCAAAATCAATTCTTTCATGAATTTCAAAGAAAAGAAGAGCTTATTTGTTTTCATCTGAATGAGAATATCATCATGACTTATTTATTAGAGTATTAATCGAACTATTTTTAATGGGTGTTGATGATTCATAAACAGAAATTTGTGCTTTTACATGATAAAAACAATCAATACAATAAAATACTAAATCTTCGCATCAATGAAAAGTAGAAAAATCTCAGATAAAGACCTTAAAAAAAAACACTTTACAGTTGCTTGGGATTTATTATTGAAAATTTATTGTGAGATATGTACTTCCTGACATAGAAATGAAACGCAAAGAACACAAACAAATACAGATCGTTTACGTGGTTCGATCCAACTAGATCTACATCCACGGGAGGAAATCAATCAAATAGTTCACTAAGGCAAAATAAATGGAGAATACATAGCTTATACATAGAGATAAGCTCTCATCTTCCTTCTATTGCCTCTCTCTCGAGCGACACCTTGATACAAGGCCTCAAGATGCTCTCCTCCTCTCTAGCTCTCTAGTTATTCTCTCATCCTTTTTGGTAGCTTAAGATCTATTCCCTTGCTCTCCTAAGCCTCACACCCTCTATATTTATAGAAGCAAGAGAGTGGTGGCTGGGAGGTAGGTGGGAGGTAGGTGAGCGGTAGATGAGATGTGATAGGTGAACGGTACCACATTACAAAAGTGACATTTTACCTTAGTTCAATAATTGGGGGTCAAAATAACAATTCTCCACATTGACCCTCAATTGAGAAGCTTCGAAGTAAAGATTCCCTTCACCTGGCCCCTGAGGGGCCCTCAGCCCTTGCTTGAGTTTGTTAAGTCCAAACAGTACATAGACTTAGCAATCACGGTTCTTCCAATAAAAAAGTACAGACCCTTTTTCCCGACTCATTGTATGACGATACGAGTGCCTTTAGTTACTCTGATGCAGTCATTCTCTGCCTTGAACGAGCATCTGTTTGGCTCCAGCGTACATAAAGAAATCAAATTTCTTTTGAGCTCTGGTACGTACCTGATATTTTTCAGTACTCATTCAACTCCATCAAACATCCTTATCCTGATTGATCCACTTCCAACAACCCTGTGAGCTTTATTGTCCATCATTTTCCTGTTGCAGTGTCTCGAACCAGTTTTTGTGAGGACACATGTGGAAAGAACACCCTGAGTTGAGGATCCACTTCTTACTGGATTCAGATTCTGTGATCACCAGGGCTTCAGCAGAATCGTAGTCATCAGAGGCTATGTTTTGTTCTCCTGATTATTCTGGCTCTTCTTGATACTTATTCTTCCTGTCTGGGCAGTTCCTCTGTAAATGACTGTCCTTGTGACAATGATAGCATTTGAAAGATCCCCTTGATGACTGATTCCCGCTATCCTTGTTTGACCTTGATCTGGACTGATACTGACCATTTCTTATATATTTCCTGTCCGATCTTCCTCTAACAATAAGACTGTCTCCACTGACTTCCTTGTCCCTATCATGCTTCCTTTGAAGTTCTTTGGCTCTAATCAGAGATTGAACCTCCTCCAGAGTAATAGTTTGCACCCTTCCATAGAGCATCGCATTCTTGAAATGCTCGTAGCTCTTAGGAATAGAGTTTAGCAACAATAGTGTCTTGTCCTCATCGTCCATGTTGATGTCGATGTTCATGAGGTCGTTGATGATCTTGTTGAACTAGTCGATCTGCTCTGAGACGGATTTGTCTTCATGCATTTTAAAGGAGTATAAGCGCTACTTCAGAAAGAGCATTCAGAAAGAGTCTATTAGCCAGAGACTTTGTCAGGTAGAGTACCTCGAGTTTGGCCTAAAGTGCTTGAGTTGTTGTCTCCCTCGACACCACCCTTAGAACTTTGTCGCCCAAGCTCAGGATTATCAAACTGTGGGCCTTGTCCAGTATGTCAATCTTCTCATTCTCGGTCATGTCGGTCGGCAATGCTGCCGACCCTTACAAGGCTCTGAACCAATAGAGCTCTCATCTTTACTCTCCATAGGCCGAAGTCGTTCTTCCCGTTGAATTTCTCAATGTTGAATTTGACGAAACTCATTGTCGTGGCTAAGATTTCTTCCAATGAATTATACCCGCTGCCCTTCCAAGAATCAGACTGAAATCACCAAAATGTTGTATTATTGTATAGCAACCAAAAGTTTTCAGCCTAAACCTGCCTTTTAACACCTTGCTGTCCAAGAAATTCTCATCAAATTTCTTACCTTCTCCCTGTGAACTCCACTGCCTTCCCAACCGAACGGAGAGCTCTGATCCCTTCTAGCAGAGATCGCACCTATTCACCGGAGAAAACTTCCTGTTTTGTGCTCGCGCCTCCTTCCAGCAGGCACTCCTCTGCGTCAAGCGGAACAAATCAGGAATTCCTCCTCTGCCCCTTGCACCCCCCTTGCACGAGAATAATTGCCTCTCCAGAGCCGTCGCGCCTCGCCAAACTGCTCAGGTCTTCCTGCTTCGCGAACTCCCGAACAGAGAACTCCCTGAACCCTTCTCTGCGCAATCTCCGCCCGCAATCTCCACCTCTTCCCTCTGGCCGAGCTGCTCGCACTCGCAAGACCGAACTTCTGCTCTGAAATCCTCTGCTGGCAGCCCTGTCGCAAATTTTCGACCCTCGCTCGCGGACTATTCCTTCTCCGTCTCGCCGAACTGCACAACCTGCGGTGCAAATCCAGTCAATCAAAGCTTCCACTGCTCACCGAATCTGTCGCGATTTGGTTGTCTGCGATGCGATCCGCTTGCTCCCCTGTTCGTGAATGCCGAACTCTTATTCTTCGTTGTTGGTCTCGAACACCTTTATGCGGATACCTCTAGCCAAGAAGTATGGATCTTCCCACAGACGCGTCAATTATTGTGAGACATGTACTTCCTGACATATAAATGAAACGCAAAGAACACAAGCAAACACAAATCGTTTACGTGGTTCGATCAACAAGATTTACGTCCACGAGAGAGAATCAATCAAATAGTTCACTAAGGCAAAAGAAATGAAGAATACATAGCTTATACATAGAGATAAGTCATCATCTTCCTTCTATGGTCTCCCTCTCAAACGACACTTTGATACAAGGCCTCAAGATGCTCTCCTCCTCTCTAACTCTCTAGCTATTCTCTCATCTTTGTGGTAGCTTAAGATCTCTTCCCTTGCTCTCCTAAGCCTCACACTCTCTCTATTTATAGAAGCAAGAGAGTGGTAAGTAGAGGGTAGTTGAGTGGTAGGTAACGGGTAGGTGAGATGTAGTAGATAAGCGATACCACATTATAAAAGTGTCATTTTACTTTAGTTTAATAATTGAGGGTCAAAATAATAAAAATAATAAAATCAAGTGTGAGCATGACCTTAAGCAAAAAGAAAAAACATAATGATCAATAGCATGCGAATAGAATCCCATTGGAATGAGTTTCGCAAACTTACATGTATAAAATCCGACAAAAAGCAAGCCGGCAGAGCCGGCGGTGGCCGGCAATGCGAGAGTCGAATAAGCTGCCGAAGCCTCTCCGGATTCTGCGGCAACAAAATGCTTACCGCCTCCTCCGGATCATCCACCACAAACATCCCTTCCTTCACATCCTTTTCCTCCAAACACACCCCGGCAGAGATTAACACCACCTTCTCCACCATCGCTTCAAACATCGCCGCAATCCGATACCCCACAAACCCTCCATAGCTAACCCCAACCACCGCCCGGATCCTATTCACCCCAATCGCCTCCATGGCCGCCATGACGCACTCGGCTTGAAAGGTCTCGCTGCGATCCGATCGGGAGGTGGAGGATCCCCCGAAGAAGAGGAGGTCGGGCACGTAGAGATCGAAGCCAGCGTGGAGGAGGGGACGGAGATAGGAGGACCATTGCCAGGTAGCGTTGGCGCCGAAGCCGTGCAGTAGGAGAATTGAGGGGCGGGTTTCTGGGTTAGGATTTCGAGGGGTCCAGCAGCAGATGGTGGATTGATCTGCCTGGAGGTGGAGGATGGTGGGACAGAGCCCGGCGGAGAGGAAGGAGCGATGGTAGCACCAGTCGCGGTAGGAGGTGAAGCTCAGGCAGGAAGAAAGAGGCAGCGACATTGTGGCGGATCCCGGCGGCGAGGTTGCCGGAAACTGAGGCTGGGGTAAGGTGGTTTTAGTTGCGGGGACGACACGAGGTTGCGAACATCAGGCTGCGGTCTCGAATTTCTGGTGTTTGAATATATAAATTATTCTTTGCGGATTCTTACGTAGGTCCCATGTAATACTTTATTAATTTCATGTAATAAATTAAAATATTTTTATTTTTACGCAATATAAATGTAAATGTATATATATATATATATATATGACTATCAATCAACTCATGTAGCGGTATTATGAGGGCATTCACATACATACAACACGGTTTCTATCTAATACACTGTTTTTTATATTTTTATCACCTAAGTTTTTTATTTCGCATAAAATATTACCAATTTAATTTTTAAAATATAAAATTTAATTTTTTTTTGTACACAAATAACAATATATACAGGTAAAAATTAAAGTTTAGATGTTAAAGTATGTAAATACATATGAGTTGAGTGGTATGTGTGTAAATGTTCTTTTGAAAAATTTTCTACATATTTTATTAATATAGCAATGTATGGGGCATCAAATAAAAAAAATTTACATAGAACTATATTAAAGTGGTATATATAGAATAGATTTAACATTTATTAAAATTATTCTAAATTTAATGATGTATATGAAAAAATCCGTATTACAATAAATTTAATTCTATGTCAAATATATTTTTAAAAAAAATTATCGGATAGAAATTCTGAATATATTTAAAATTTATTAAATTTATTTTGAGATTTTGTATTGCGCTTAGTTTTTGTTCATCTCTAAACTAATTCAAAATATATAAAATTTACCCATATAAAAAAATGTTCTTAGAATGTGCTGGCAGACCATGTTTTTAGTTCACCAACCCACACCAAAAAAAAATTTAGAATATGATGGAATTGAAGAATAATAAATACTTAAAAAATATTATTAATTTAAATTAGTTTTATAATAGTGTGATAAATAAAATGAGCGATTTTGAGATAAATAATAATAAATTAGTTGATATAAAATATTAAATGTCATATTTTTAGACATTTTAAATAATTTAAAGATAACATTTTAAAATGTAATATATTTTTTAATATATTTTACATTTTTTTCTCTTAAAAGAGCAGGCTTACGAGCTAACGAGACAAGTCGGGGTTGGATTGAGTTAGCTCATCGAGCTCTGCTCATGAGTCACCTATCGAGTCGAGCCCGAGCCAGCTAACAAGGTGGCTCGGCTCACTTACACCCCTAACTATCAGTCATTTTAAGCTAAAACTAATTTTACAACTTGCTTATTGGTTAATTGCTCTCATTTTAATGCTATTAGTAAGAGGGCTACATATGAAATCTGGTCCGATAAATATAAAAAAACAGTAATTTAATAGATGTCACGCCTATGTTCATATTAATAATGATAAATTAAAACTTGAATCTATAAAATGTGTATTTCTTAATTATAAAGTTAGAATTAAAATTAAATGGCATAAGCTATGACTATCAATCAATTCATGGCATCTATTATAAATATAATGATATTGACCAAGAGGATGTGTCTAATAGAAAGATTGATTTTCAGATCGAGACAAAAACATTTTTTAGGATGAATTTCCATGAAGTTTCCAATTGTCATGAAGATGTTCTTTCCTCGTCATCATAGTATTAACCACAATAATATTCTATTGAAAATAGTAGAATAAGCAAAAAAAGATTAAGCTGCCAAAGACTTATGGCGAGAATAATTTACTTGCCTACCCTAAAAAAAAGTATTGAGTGTGGCAAAGAATCATTCGTATATAAAGAGATTGTTGATTCAATGGACTTAGATAATTGAATGGTTAACTGGGGAGATGGATATAACTATTATTTTTACATGAGAATGACACTTGAGATCTAGTGGAGTTACCCAAGGTAATGAAGTTGTTTGCTCTAGATGGTTGTTTAAGAGAAAGTAAGAAACACTTGAAATTAAATATGTTAAATACAAAGGTGTATTAAATTGTAAATATATTCAAATATACCCCACAAGTAGACTTTATAGGCATTTCTCTAGTAGCTAGATTTGAGTTTGTGCTCCACAAATTAATGCTTTGGCCTCCCTCGAAGGTCGAATAAGTGAGATAGATTTACTTGTGTTTTGGGTCAAATCTCCATCAAGTATATGAAACATTAGATAATTCACTATCCATAGTTTCATCATTATTTTGTGAGGATTTTTTTTGTCTCTCATAGGTGCAAGACATCATGGTTAGTTTCCCTTCCTAATGATGAGAACTCACTTTCGATCAAGACTAGTTGTTAGAGACTTGGTTAATGCGCGTATAGTGACAACATATTTAAGTATTAAATTATTAAATTATTCAATATGAGCTTAGCGAAGATAGTGAGGGGAATGAAGACGTATATAATCAAGATTCTACTTTCCCATCATCCCATATCTTCATGGACCACAATACACTTAGGCGGCCATGAATTGCTTTATACAAAAAAGAAAAAAAAACTGTCGGCCAAGAGTTGATATTTGTTTAATTAATGGGCAAACTTAAGTCTACTTTAGCATGCACAAAACTTTGTGCCCTATTAGGTATATTTATAATTCACAACCTAATCAAACAATAAATATTGAGGAACACATGGGCTAAAGTCATGATCTTAATGTAGTGGAGCCAACTAATCAGATCATTAGGGTAAAAACTTATGGTGGTAACAAATTGTTTTGTGGGGCTTAATGGCCAAACAAGGCAAATAGATGACTTAGCCCACATGTTGGCTGACACATATTATTTTGAGTGTAAATGTATCAGTATTTTGTGATGTGACATTCACTCTTTATGAGCTCAAATTAATCTTAAAATAAACTGACACTCACATCCTCTCTTCCCGTCACCTGTTTGCCTACACATATGAGGCTGACTTTGTGTGTTGGGACTCGCCTTGCCCCTTTGTCCACCGGTTGCTAACCTGGTTATTTGAAATAGGTGGGTTCCCCGATAGAGCCCCTTGAGGACGGTCCCTCTTAAGTTCCGCCTCCAAACAGAGCAAATAGTTTTTCCTTAGGGTGATCCTTGTTCGAAGGATTTCAAATTGCTCCATCATGAATGTCATTTGCTCTTGTAAGCCTTGGAATTGTGCATGGACATCTGGTTGTATAACATCTCTATTAGGTCCCATATGTGCTATATTTTTTTGAAAAGTTTCTCCGTGGTTTTTTTAAATTCTCGTTTGTGGCATATTCACTCTCACCGCACCATCTTTCAGGACATTGGATCCTCAGTTTATTCTTTTGTGAACATGTTCTGAGAGTTTAGGATTGAGTGAATGAAGAAAGAGAGAAATAAAGTATTACAAGTAATATGTTTCCTATAGAGAGAGTAGGTGAAAAGTTTTTTTATTCATATTTTTTCCTCCTATTTATAAATGTGTATTATGTATAACTACAAAAAGAATGAAACAATTATGAAAATCGTTCTTAATGCAATTAATGTTTTGATTAATCGTATAAATTTCATACCATATTTGTATTGCAATTTGAATTTAATTGGCTAACTGACTTGCTTGAATTCAGTCGACTGAGGTGGTCGACAGAGTGGCAATTGTGCCATGGGTTAGCTGACTGAGGTCGACCGATTAACTACGATCAAGAATTCCCGCCTGTGCCCAAGTCGGTCGGACTGTTGGCACGATCAGTCGTTCTAGTCTCTTAGTATGGAGTGTCGGTTGATTCTTGACCACGTAGTTGACAGTAGAGCGGTAGGACACGTTGGTTTCTGGGCGTCGTATAGGGTGTTCTAATGCTTTGAGATTCATGTTGATATTCCATTAGAGGGCAGACTATCATATTAGACTGACTTTCTCGTAGTGATTTCATTTGGATGCCATTTTATCTCATCTCTAGCTAGGGGGGTGTAAACGAACGGGGGTGTAAACGAACGGAACACGAACAAACAGAGCTTGTGTTCGTGTTCGGTTCGTTTGAAATTTAATTTGTTTGAAATAAGCTCGTGTTCGAAATTGTTCGTGAAGTCATTGTTCACGTTTATTTCTTAACGAACAATCCGAACACTAGCTGTTTGAGAACGACGAGCCAGTTTGACATCCCTAATATTAATATATATAAATAATATATTATATTAATTATATAACATAAATTATATAAATATATAATTGCTATATTTGTATATTACTAATATAGTATATTAATAAATTATTATTATTAATTTATTCTATAATATAATTTATAAATTTTAATTTTTTAAAATATCATAAAATTTATATATATAATTATTTTCAATTATTTTATATTTCGAACAATAACGTTTCAAATATGAACGCATCACTATTCGTGTTTGATTCATTTAACTAATCAAATGAAAAAAAAAAATTGTTCATATTCATTTCATTTATTTATTGAACGAATGAAATGCAAATTCATGGACGAAGCGAACATCAACTGCTCGTGAACTACGTGTTTTTTTTGACATGCCTATCTGTAGCTGATAGCATGTTCTTGTGTGACAGCATGTGCTTGTATCTCCGTCTCCCGGGCGGTTTTTTATTTAGTTTATATACATGGGAAACCGCTAAACCGAACAAGAATCGTGACAGCTTCAAGAACAGTTGGAAAAAACATGCGGAGTTTGTGGCTCCGTTGCTTGTTTTCGAAGGCGGCGAATTCCTCCACAGAATCCAGCGGTGCAAGCGACCACAGTCCGGCCCTTCGCCACCACACATTCTTCATTCCTTCCCTTCTCCTCCACGCAGTCCCTAACCCTATCTCCCGCATTCTTCCTCCACAATTTGTCTTCCTATCTTCCATAGGTTTTCAGCGGTCTGTGCCCTAGAAGGGAATCGGGAGGAGAAATGCGGACGGCGAGGGTGATGGGATGGGCTGCCGAGGCCGACGCGACGTTGGGATTGGCGGGAATGATCGCTGGGATTGGATTACGGTGGTGGAACGAGATTAATGAATCGGATGAGTGGCAGCGATGGTTGTACTACACACTTTGCGGTTGCTATTGTTTTAACTCTCTGGTTGCGCTGGTATTCCCATCTAATTTTCTCTCATGGAATTCTTTGTTTGTTGATTCGTCGTATGCATTGTCAAGGTCGGCATGTTTTGGATTAACGGTGCAAGCATTCATTTACAATTGCTGTTTTAACGAAACTTTTGAAACCAGGAAGGAGAGGGAGAGCTAGAGAGAGGGAATGAGGAGGAATGCATATAGACTTGCCCATGGGGCAAAATGGGATATTTCCAGGCAATTGTGACCCATTTTATATATCCAATATGGATGCTAAAAGGAAAATGAGAGAGAGAGACTCCCGACACAAGAAGGGTCAAAAGAGAAGAGCCAAAAAGCTACTAATGCATGACCTTGTCTCCCTATTTATAGGAGATATAGGGACATGCAAAAATACATGTTTTACCCCTGCTCTGGAGGGGTTCTACATGGTATTATGTTCTTTTTGCATGCCTGGTCCTTTTGCTCTGCAAGCCTATGGTCCACTGACTGACCTAATTTCGGTTGGCTTTTGTCTGATCTCCAATTAACTTTTGAACGAGAAGCCAATCGGTTCTTGAGTGGGATGACCAATCTGTTTTCAGATTGTTGGTCAGCTTGCTTGATCATTGTTCCTTGATGATCTAAGGTGATATTTGAGAGAGTTTTGTGTTAATGCTTGTTAGATTGTTGGGGGTGCTAGACCATTGTCCGACCATCTCTTTATGAGCGATCAAAGTTGATGCCTCATGCCCACCTCTTCTTGGCTTGGGTGGCCATTCAGTCAACTGAATTTGTCTTTAATCAGTCGACTGAATTTGATGCCCCAAGCCTTCGTTCAGCTGGGTTATCTATCAGTCGGTCAGATTCACGAGGCCTTATAGTTTTTTGTTAGAGGTATCATTGTCATATCTTCTTTGATCTTGGACCGTTAGATTATCTCGAGATTATGCTCACAAATTTTTTCGGTGTACATATTTAGTTTCTCAATTCCAGTGACTACTAAGATAAGAACAAGATAATTTTTTTAAGTAAAAAAGAAATCTTAACATTCATAATTCAAAGTAATAATTAAATTTCCTAGACTTTTGTGCAAATGGCCCTTATAAATAAGGCATGGTGAACAGTTCTCAACATTATGTGTTTGTCTCTCCTTGCATCAGCTCGGCTTCTCAAGACATCCCCATGGAGAAAAAATCAGATCCTTCACCCAAACCCGTGGACCATGAGAAGATGCTGGCCTTTTGTGTTGTAGAAGCAACGCTATCCGGAGGGTGAGTCTGGAGGAAGTGGGACAAGAAACTTGCCAAGAAGCCAAAGATATCCGAGAGGATCAAGCAGGAGAAATCAACATATTAAATTTAAGAGATTCCAAAGAAGAATCGACCCAATGCCAGAGAGGAGCTGGGTGGTTTAGGGGCTCGTTATTTAATTAAGGCTCCTATTGCGGTTTCGAGTTGGCTAGAAACTGCTAGTGCCCCTCAACTGGTCGGCGAACAAAGAACCAACTGTGGTCAGCAGCCAATCAGGATGAAAGGAGCTGTTAGTGATCTCTTGCCACTGATTGAGGGCAAACTCTCGGCTACTTGGTCTGAGATGGAGAGGATTTTGAGTACGAGTTTTTTTCTTGTCTTAGGTTTTTTCTAGATTTATTTTTCTCTTTTTAGTGGTTGTCTCTTGAAGCAAATGAGGGCTTTTTGGTCGAAGGCTTGCCTCTTACTGGTGCTAGCCTTGAACCAACTGTGGCATCGGCTCCTTCACAGCAGGTGCCAGTTGGGAGTGAGGGGAACGTAGTCAACCGCCCAACTGACTCCATTGAGGTCCACAAAGAAGTGGTTGAGGGACGTAGGATGTCCCCAAGGATGCTAACCTGCCTCATGGTTGGAGTGGAGGCCACTTTGGCTTGAATGACCGAGGCTCAGTGAGAGGAGGATCTCTGCTAGGTGTTGGTCCGATTGGAAGTTCGAAGGGAGTCATCTACTCTTCGCCGAGAAGTGTCTGAAATTCGGGAGGATGCTTATGTATAAAGGACCCACTCAGGTCAGTCTCATATGCTTTAGGAAAAAATTTATGATAAAAAACTTTGTGAAGATATATTCCTTTGTAAAAGAATTTTTTTGTAGAGAAAACTTGTACATTTTTATCTTTAGAAATGAATGAAGCTTTACTTTTTATTCTTTCATTCTTTTACCTTTATCTTGTTGGTTGCTCGTGGTATTTTGTATTAGTAATATTTGATGACTCAGAAATTTCAAAAAGATCGTTTGACCTTTTTTTTTTATATGTCACCGTTCAATACATGTCTTTTACCATTCGTGTCTCGTTTGTTCGGTTGGGTCGTTGTCTCCAACAGGTCTTACCTTCTGCTATGACTTAAGAAGATCTTGTCAAAGTTTGAAGACTCGCTACTGGGACGATTTACGTCATTCACTTTGCGAAGTTTGTCGCTATTAGGCAGGAAACCGACTCCAGAGCTTTATCCTTGTCGAGTTTAGACACATGGGCTATGCTTGACGTTGAGGGTATGATTTTTATAATGTCTATCAAACATCTATGACGTCGCTCCTGGTCGTTCTTATTGCTTTCTACTTATCAAAAGTCTTTTGCTCCACTGCCAGTTTATTTTAAGGTACCGGCGCTTGGCTCTAATCTTACTCTTTTCTAGGTGTCGGTTGCTTGGTCTGATTTTTTTCATCTAGATTACATCTTATGCTAAGCTTATTAAGCGGATCTTATTGCTTTCACATGGATAACCATAAAAGCTTGCTTCTGGGGTGATTTACTCTGTACCTTTTGCAGAGCTCATCACTACTGGGCAGGGAACCACCTCCAGAGCCTTATTCGATTCAAGTTTGAAGACCAAGGTTCATAATATGGGAGTGTTGTGGGTCGATCAACTGACCGGATGTCTTTGGCTTCGTTGTCGGCGTTGCTACTTGGATTCGAGTTCCTCGAGTATCAATTGGATCCAACAAAACATTAAACATCTTCATGTGTTTTTTTATAGTAAAAAAAAAAAAGTTGGGTTGGGTGTCAGCTATATAGAGTTGATCGAGCGTTGTCGATGTGTCATCGGTCTGTTTTTCTCGGGGGAGTTCTCTAACCTTTAGAGTCGGCTATCTGTTTTGGTGTGGCTCTTTCCTCCGAGTCAAAGCCTCTCGGAAGATGACGAAAATGAGATTTTTTGACTCTTGGATTTGTTGATGCACAAACTTCTTGGCGTGCTCCCTATCAGAATTGTCTCTTTGGTGGATCTCTCCTCATCAGTGTCGCTCATTTTCTTATTGGTATCATGCTTTACACTCATTGCACCTTTCTGGATGTTGAATCCAAATTTGTCGTATGAGACGTGCCTAAAGAATAAGGATAACTAAGGGAAGTTTGCGGGGGGGGGGGGAAGATGGAAAGAGGAGGAATGCACACTTGCCATTATGGGGCAAAATAGAACATTCTTGGGCTCTTGTGACTGTTTTTTATGTTGAATGTGGAAGTTTCAAACAAAAGGAGAGAGGGACTCCCTACAAAAGAAGGGTCAAGAGAAAAGAGCCAAAAAACCCTTAATACATCATTTGGTCTCCTTATTTATTGGAGATAGAGGGGAAAAATATAAAATTACATATTTTACCTCTGCTCTGGAGGGGTTTTACATGTTATTCTGGTCTTTTTGCATGCCTGAAATTTTTGCTTGGCAAGTGTTTGGTTGGCCAACTGAGATGGTTTCAGTTGGTTTTCATGTGGGCATCAATCAATTTTTTAATGGGAAGTCGGTCAGTTCTTGAGTGAGACGACCGGTCGGCTGATCGGGTTGCCTGGTTATTGTTCCTTGGTGATCTTTGGGGGAGCTGTTGAGAGAGCTTTGTTTTGTTACTTGTTAGATTGTTGGGGGGTGCTAGGCTTTTTCTAATCATTTCCTTCAGAGTGATCGGTGTGGTTGCCCGTCTCTTGTTAGCTTGGGTGGCCAGTAGGTCGGCTGAGTTTGCCTTTGGATGGCCAGCAACTCTTCAGTTGGCTGGGCTGTTTATCAGTCGGTCAGATTCGTGAGATATATGATTTTTTGTTAGAGGGATCTTGTCATTTCTCCTTTAATCTTTGATTGTTAGATTATCTCGAGATTCATGCTAACACATTTTTTGTGTTTATAAATAAAAATGGGGATGTGGATTTTTTGATTAGTTGGGATTTACGGTCAAGGATTTTTTATTGAAGCTCATTCCTATTTTGCTCGCTTGATAATTAAAAGGGCAATTCCATACATACCATACAATTCTTATTTATTTACATATTTAACACCAAAACATCCATATTTACATGCATAGCACTCAAATATTTAACATCACATCAAAATGCACCTTTTCTTGCATAGGTTTATAACATCGAAGTATTAAAAATGTAAATATAGAACTTTAGATGCCAGGAAGATTTAGGTTGTTTTCTTTTTGTTCGGGAGGTCTAATAAAGAAAAGAAAGTTTTTATTCCATATAGATTAATAGTTGAAAAAACTGGAAAAATAAATATTGCAATTAATTTGACACAAATATCCTTTTTTTTTGTTAGAACCTAGATTTTTTGGCTGTTATGAAAAATGTGTTTTTATTAATTTCTTTCTCTCCACTCTTCTTCTATTTTTGTAAAAACCTGTTCCCTTATAGCTTATCATGATCTCTTTCCTTACTTTTGCCTCCTCAATCATGCTTATATGAAGAATCTTGGAGGAGCCCACATTTTTCCACTGTTATTGCAGAACAAAGTCTATTTATGATAAATCAAATATGTCTACAATTAAATCAACAGCAAGATGGTAATAGGTAGCTATCCTCCATTTTAATGAACTAACCAACCACTACATAACCGTGAAAAACTAAAGGGATACATACCTAGCACACAATTATTAGGTATTTACATATCTCACACATAAGCTTTCATATTTATATTATTACATACAAAGCATTTTGATGCTTTAAACTTCTGCATTAAAATGTGTATTTCACTATAAAAAGTGGTAATAGTGATTTTCTTAGTATGATATTAAATATTTGAGTGTTATGTGTGTAAATAAAGAAGTTTAGGTGTGAGATATGTAAATATATAAGAATTGTGTGCTATGTATGTAAATTCCCCTTTAATTTAATGTTTATATCTATGTGTAATATTAACTTCAAGGAGTTTTTACAACTTAACCGCTCAAAATATTAAGTATAGCATTTTAATTATGCGCATACTTTAAGTATAACATTTTAACCACTTTTATCATTACAACCACCCTCCTTTATCCACTAGTAAAGGCTTTTAGTGGAAATTTTTTGTGGTTAAAATGTTATATATAAAATTTTTGGTGGTTAAAGTATTAGATTTAAAATTTAGGCGGTTAAAATATTATTGTCAATGTTTTAAGTGGTTGTTATGTAAACCCATAACTCTAAATGTTAATTAAGTTTTATTTCCTTTAATTTAAATTTATTTGCTCAATCTTTAACTACATTAATTCAAGTTGGAATCTTTATATTAAAAGTAACAATTCAATTTAATTTTGATTACTTTTATCATTCTTGCAATGCAGAGTGTTGACTAGTGTGAGCAGTAAATAAGAAGCAAAAGCCCTGATGTCACCAGCCATTTACTTCATGGTTTAGATGTCACTAGCCATTTACCTCATAGTTTAGATCTTAAAATAGAAGTTTTTTTTTTTCTGATTTTTGTTTAACATATGGATATTTATTTATTCTCTCAAGTTTTTTTAGCTGTACAATTTTCTAAAATTACAGGAGACTAGCTTTTATATGTATGTCGTGTATCAGGTACAAATTATTCGCATACAGCTCAGAGTTCCAGAATATGGCTGGAAAACCCAAAAAATTTTCCTCTTGATGAATTTTATCATCAATGGATGTAAGTCATAAAACTTTAGTTTCTCATTGTGTTCATGCTACCAACTTTTAATATATATTTACTAAGCCTTCTTTTTTATTAACAGTGCGTGCTGTTCTCTTTGGGTTTTACCAAAATGCTTTTATTCTCAAACCTAAAGTAAGTGTCTTTTCACTAAGAGTTATTTTTGTGATAATATTGAAGTCAACATTGAAATATGTTATTTGTAAATTTTAAGTGGATTCTTTTCTTTTTAGCATTACCGTGTCTTTTAGTTTATTTAAAAAAAAGGTCAAAAATGGTCTTAAAATTATTTACGGGGGAATATTTCAGCACTAGACTATCTTATGTGTTCATTTTTGTTGTTTGAAACTTTAAATTTGATTCAAAGTAATTTCTTGATTCCTCGATTATGCCCCAAAATAATTAAGCAGATGTACTATTTTGGATTGTATGTGAGGAGCCAAGGAACTAAATTGAATACTTTTGAAAAAAATGATGCTATATCAATAGGTTAGGGATCATTGTAACCTTTTTCTTAAATTTCTTTTGTACTCCTGTGTAACTACATGTTTTTAAAATCCAATTGCATATTATGGTGCTTTACCATGCATTTCTCTTAAAAGTTTGATAGGACCCGGATAAACTTTCACGAATTTAGGCAATAAACTGCCAAATCAAAACAATATAATCCCAAATACATAAAAAAATAAATATCTACAATTTGAGAGGTAGGTGATCTCTCTCAAACCCTAACTCCTAAGTTTAAGATTCAAAATAACAATCACACATCACATAATCTAACTCTAAACATATTAAGCTCTATTTATACCCCATAATAATAACTAACAAATGATTAAATTGCCCTTATAGTCTTATGCCTAACATAAGTCTTTCAAATATTTTGATAGAATCTGCATGGTGGAAAACACGGTAAGTGCCAGTCCAATATTTATCCCCTCCAAAAAACAACACATTGTCTTCAAGATGAAAAAAAAGTAACTTCTATTTAATCAAATTGTATGACTCACACTCATAAAATAATTTGAGTTTGGCTCTTGCTGTCAACACTTGAACGAAATAAACAATGAGTCGTTGACATTGCATGATGAATGTGCCTAACCTATAGCTTGAAACATCCTTCTCCATAATGAATGGTTGACTGAAATAAAGTAACACTAGCACCGATACAATCATCACGACCTTCTTTAATTTCTCAAAAGTCTGGATCGCAATTTCCCCATATTGAAAGTTATCATTCTTTAACTGCTCCATCAATATCCATACAATCGAACTATAACCCTTCAAGAACTTTCGAAAGTATCTTGTAAGTCCCATAAATTCTCTTAACCCCTTTAAGAAGTTTTCTTCCAATGCTGCTTCTGATAATTCTCTCAAACGACCGAATAACAATCAAAATTTTCCCTATAGTCCATGACATACCCTTCCTAAAACAATGCAAAAAAAGTCTTTTGTAAATTCCTTCCAGCGTGGTTTTAAAACATTCCAACCATCGATACTTAAATTAATCTCATGTTTTGATTTACCGACGTTGTTCTCTCCATTAATACCACACTAGAGCAATCTCTTCAAAACACAGGGTCGTTACCATCATTTTTTTTCTCCGTCAGCCCATTAACAATAAAGTATCTCTCCACGCGATAAACCCAGCCATATGAATCCTCTTCTTGAAAGATCGGCATCTTCAGCTTTAATATGCGTGAGTCATCTTCCCAATTTCCTCAACCAAAGCTCGTTCCACCCTAGAAGCAGGGGTTGGGCTCCCTTTCTCAACCCATATTGATATTTCTTCTTCCACTAGTCCAACTCATCCCATAATCAACCTGTTTCCCCCCATAGGCTTATGAATCTTCGCTTGGAAGGCTATTGTAGCAAAAGACATTGATGTAAATCGATGTAGCCCTCTGCTTGGGTCCTACCCATCGTAGTAACCTGTTATAGGCCAAAATCCTTCTAATCGATCTTCTCCAACCTGACTCGCATGCCGTTCCATTCTGCATGCTTTCGTTCATTCCAAACCTCCAAATGTCACATAATTACCTTCAGATGTTGCCACTCGAATTCGCTCCCGACTATTTCACTCGGATTTTGCTCACCTCTCCCTCTAATTTCTCCTCCAAGAAATTTACTTTCTTGGCCGCCATTATTTCTAGGATGTTTTTCAAGCACAAAAGGTGGAACTTCTATACGCCGCGATCTCGTCGTTGACTTCCGAGCTAGATCGATTTGTGATTGTATCGCGAGGTTCGACCATGAAGGCAATTGTATTTCGAGGTTTGGTCTCGAAGGCTATCATGTCGATCTAGAATGTATCACAATCCCGTGTTGACTTCCCAACAGCTCGAATTGCGACTGTATCATGAGGTGCTATCAAGACGATAGATCCCACATGCCGCGATCCTGTCTAGGTTTCCTTGTCGCTTGAATCATGACTGTATCACGAGGTTCAGTCATGATGACAAATCCTATATGTCGTGATCTTGTTGTTGGCTTCCCAACAACTCATATTGTGACTGTATTGCAAGGTGCGGTCATGATGACAGCTCCTGTATGTCTCGAATCTTTTGTTGGCTTACCAACTAGCTCGAATCATGGTTGTATCGAAGGGTATGATCCCGACGACAGATCATGTACGTTGTGATCCTTTTGTTGGCTTCCCAACAACTCAAATCACTACTATATTCCTAGGACGTTGCTCTGATACCAATTTAATAGAAGCGAAACAAACATTCACAAAAATTAAGGCGGAAACCACCCAAACAAAATAATTAATCCCGAATACATAAAAAATAAATGCAAATTATTTGAGAGATAGACTCTCTCAAACCATAACTTCTAACTCTAGGGTTAAAGACAACAATTAGATACCACATAACCTAACCCTAAATATATTAAACCCTATCTATACCCCACAATAATAAATAAAAAATGTCTAAATTTTCCTTTTTAGTTTTACACCTAACATAAGTCTTTAAATTATTTTTGGTGGACTCGGCGTGATAGAAAGCGACGTAGATGTTTGTCTAACAAAATTATAAGAAGGTGAAGCATGATTGTGATGTTATAAATCCTAATTTCATATGTTAATAAAGTTTGTTATTCGTGCATTGTTTATTTGTGATGTTTTGTTACATGTATTATTCTTTTGAACTTTAGGTTAGGTTTTAGCACTTATCTGGTAAGATGATCACCTATTTTACTACATTTGTTGAACTAGATTAATTAAAAATTTGTTGTACTGAAAACTTGCTAGTGAAATTAGCATTTATAAGTTTGGTTTTGGTTAAGGTCAAAAGCAATTATGTGAATAGATTTATTAGGGTTTAATTAGGGGATGAAGAGGGTAAAGCAGATGCTATACTAAGGATAATTTTCAATTTGGGCTTTATGTATAATGGTGATGGATGTCACGACCCGGTCCCAGGACTTGAAATTTATGAGGCGGGAATGGACAGTCATAGGATGAAATTTAAAATTTTTTAAATTTCCTTTTCTATCATTAACAATTTATAATCCAAACAAAATAAAAGAGTTACGATGAAAATAATTTTAATTTAACAAATAATAAGTTTGCATATTTGTTTGTTGACATCGCCTCATACACACATTTACTCATCCAACAGTCATTGTCTGTTAAAAAAGATAGCATTAAAAATGTTAAAATGACATAATAAATTATCCGCTATAAAAAACCAATGAAGAAAAAATAACATGTATGCTGGTCTTTTTCATTATATTATAAAAAAAATTTAATAATATATATAAATATATATGATATTTGTACATGGAAAGAATCTAAGATTTTTATATGCATTAATTTTTGCTTTACTTTCCAAGGTAATTTTTTAACATTTTAATGCATAACCTAACATTAATTTTTAACATTATTAGTACATATGTCTCAAGGTCAGTACGGTTATATAACCTAATACACTCTTGATCGATACATGCTCCTTTGGCAGAGTGCGGCACAAAATATGTCTACAATTGTTTTAGGTGGAGATGTACTTATTCACTCTGATTGATATTCTCCCATCGACATAACAATTCATGATTTAAATTACATGATTGTTTGAATTAATAAAAAAATATTTATGCTTACGAGTACATTGATACCACCAGCCAATACTATAAGTTGGTGAAATTTTTTTAATATGCACATACAAACATTCATGTATAGAATATTATCATTTCATTCTTCATAGCACTTTTTTTATCAGATACTTTGTATTTATCTACTAATAAGTAAATACACATCCACTAAAATCTATATTTTATATAATAATCTAATATTTTTCTACGAGAATTATTGCACAATTATTTAATATGCATATTTTTGTGTAACAATACAAATAAATTGTTGTAGTTTAAATCCCATCAGTATAGAGCATACATGAAATCATGAATATATTTAGAAATAAGAAATATCACTAAAATCTAGAAATATAATTAATCATCTTGAGCCTTTTATCTTTATACTTCTTAAGTTATAACTTCTTTAATTGAATACATATAATATGAAAAAATATTGATATTAATAAATTTATAATACATTACTTAATTATGTTTTAGTTAATTATAGTCTAATTTCTAATTTCATCATTTTATTTAACATTTCAATCATTTAATTTTAGAATTAATCATTTCAGTTAATATTAATATTAAATAATATGAATTCTAGGGCTGTAAAAGAGTCGAGCTTGAGCGAGCTCAGACTTGGCTCGTGTTCGGCTCGTTCGAAATAGCTCGTGTTCAAAATCGGCTCGTGAACAATGTGTTCGTGTTCGGCTCGATTTGAATATTCGTGTTCGGCTCGAAATTGACTCGTTAAGCTAAAATTGAGAAAAATAGATGTAAAGTGTGGGATTTGAACCTGGATCAAATATATACAAAAGAAGACACTAACCACATTGCCACATGAGGTGTTATGATTTAAACTTAGACATAAATATATATAATATATTATTATATAAATAATATATGTAATATATTGTAATATAAAAAGTTATATAATTTTTTTTTCGAGTCATTTAGAGTCGAACACGAGCGAACAAACTGTTGTTCACATTTCGAGCTTAAAAATTTGTTCGTGTTCGGCTCATTCGTGTTCGGCTCATTCGTTATTCGTTAAGCCTAACACGAGCTGTTCACGAACAACGAGCCAAATTGACAGCCTTAATGAATTCAAACAAATTAATTTTAAAAACAAAACCGCTCGATTCGACCTCCCTTATCTTGCAATCAAACCCCTCACACGGAAAAGTTTTTCCATACGTTGTACGCACGGAGAGCACCGTGCGGACAACGGCTATGATTCTCCCATCGTGACAGAAAATAAAAACAACCGTCGCGATCAGGTGTATCGCAGCCGTTGCCCGCACAGTGACAACTTATGGAAGAATTTCTCCCTCACACGAGGCTTCAGCTTCCCTCTCACATAATGCTCTGCTCGACGTTGGCTTAACCTCTCGAACACATGAACGCTTGTTCCTTTGGCTTCGACACTCCAATGTCATCGTTCCCGCACGAGAGTAGACACCCTCGACTACTTCGCACGGCTTCGATGCTAATGGTTCGATGGTCAACATTGCCGCTCCTATATGAGAATCAAATCCCTTGTCTCCTTCGCTCAATTGGTGTTACAATCCGCTTTATGTCACATAATGTTGCTGCCTTCGGCTTGGATCAATTCATTCAAAACAAAGGTACTCACTTCCAGTCACTTCCTCCCGTCTCATCTTAAACGTAAATTCATATTCTCCAAAGTGTTACAAACTCGACGAAAAAAAATCTAGCATTACAATCTTCCTCACACAAAATTAGTCCTCAAAATTTATAAACTTCCCATAAGTCATTTCTCATTATGCAAATAAAACAAGAACCATCTAATATCCATTATAAAAGTCTAAATCTTGATAATTAATATTAAAATCAAATGGAATTAATCAAACATTTGAGAATAGACAACCCAATGAACTACTCCAATTATATTAAATATGAAGACTAACACCGCATCTAATTTAGTTTTATATAACTAAAATAACTCTCAACTTCTGAAATAAAAGTACATAAAGATACTTAACACAAAATAGCTAACATGATACTCATATCACAAATCACTGATCTAACTCTATTAGCATTGTTGATAAAAATGAAAATTAATAAGATTTGCAATTGGAATATTTTAAGTTTCTTTAAGATTGGTTAAAAAAATTTCCCTACTTTATGTGCTTGTGATATGTGTACTGTAGACTGTAGAGAAGAGAATGAATAAAAGGATAAGTAGAAAACTAAGAAAATATTGAGTATAAATAACATACAAGGAAAATGAGAAGATAATCACCAATGGAAGGATATCATTCTCAACCTCACCAAAGGAAGAGTTAGTTCAAACTAACTACCGAGCTAGATTTGGAGAAATGATTAATCTCACTTTGCATCCAAATTATGTGGCTTACATCCCAGAATTTCATAACTTCATAGGTTTTGCATTACAAAGAATGCGGAATGTTATAAGAATATCAAAGGTCACATGAGCACATGAAAGCTCATAATTACGTGAAATGAATTGTTTTGTCTTTTAATTATTCTCCCCTAAATAAGAGCTTTCATGGTGGATCTATTTTTTATTCACTCCAAACTTTCAAGGAGTGGCCACTCTAAATATTCAAAGTAGAAATTATCTTGATATCATTATAAATCTTCAAGTAGAAGCTATTACATGATACTCTCACCTCCATGGTCGGTAACTTGCTCCTAATGTCATTTTTACCCTCTACAAGACCATCACAAGAAAAGACCACATGATATTATTAAATTACATGCAACATGTTGTAACATGCAAACTACTAATCTCTCATATCTAATCTTGTTTTTGTTAATATAAATACATGAAAACAAACGGAAATAACATGATAATATGCTAATATAAATTCTTGTATTATTCTTAAAGTATATGTATTATTTTCATTTGGTCATAGTGCTAGTGACTGGCTGGGGGCTGCAGATTGTGGTGATTCAATTTGATTGCTATGGCTCTCTAGTTTCCTCTATATGATCCCTTCATTCCAATGGGGAAAAAAAATCTAATGTAATTACTCTCTGGTTTTCTCAGTCAACTGATACATTCATGCATTAAGAGAATGGCAATCGATGATTATTTAGTTGTCCTGATTAGTTAAAGTCCCTTGTGGAGAAATTATTGTGTGGATTATGTGTATTTATATATGTATTAGGTATGTGGACTCTTGTGCGCATTTATGCATACTCTTTAACACGGTAAATGGTGTGCATTATATGCGCACCTAATATATTTAGATATGACTATATAAATCACCTAAACACACAAAATGGTATCCGTAGGTGTAAATTTTGTTTAGATTATTGATCCACATGTAGACATGTGCTACATGCTCATAATAATTTCTCCTTGAATTACTGATTGGTGTAATAGCAAGTTTTCTAAGCCTTTAGTCCGTCCTTTTCTTGTGCTACATAATTTTCATCTCTTTATTTTAAGATTTATTATTTCAGGTACTTGAGATAGCACTTTTTGATCTTCCCAGTCTACTGTTCTTTTCGACATACACTCTACTTGCGCTTTTCTGGGCAGAAGTTTATCATAAGGTATATGAAATTGTATAGATGTTTCTTCTCTGACATTTTTTATAAACTAATCATCCTTCTACTTCTTTTTTGCATCCATTTCAGGCTCTAAGTCAACCCGCTGATAAGCTTAGACCTGCTTATTTAATAATTAACTGTATCGTGTATTTGATACAGGTGAGAAAATATTTCATATTTGCAACAGTATGCCTTAGTAAGATTTTTTTTCTTCTAAATATGCTATTACAGATTTCTATTTGGGTGTATATGCAAGCTAGTTCAAGGTCTATTGCTATGGATATGGCTAAGCTCTTCTTGTCAGGTGTTCTACTTAATTTTATTCATTGTCGAAAATTGTACCTTCATCCTTATTCTTATGAATATTCATTCTTCATTCATTATGACCATGCCTGCAAGAGTTGTTAATTTTGTCTTTCTTGCACGAAACTTTTTGCACTGTTGGTTTGGTTAACTTAACGGTAATCTTCTTATCTGGTAGTGCATTTCTACCCTCTTGTATACATGGCTTTTTTTCTCATAGGAATTTTCATAAAACAGATTCAAAATACCTGTCGCATTTACACAGTTTAATTTTCAACAATAAAATTGCAAATTTTCTTCGTGAACACCATCATTTTTATTACGATTGTTTAAAATTTCAACTGTTTAATAGATGTTTCACATATTAGAATAATTTCTTATGCAAAAAGCTGACATCAAGATACCTTATATTGAATATCCATTGTAAGAGTATTAAATTTATACAAAGGATGTGGTCTTACTGTTGACTTTTGATATTCTCATATCACGATTAGGAACTATTTAGTCAATCTATAGTCATTAATATTGGTTAAATTTTGATAATGTGTTATCTTTTTAGCTCATGAATTTTGATATATTTTGACACCCACATTTTTCTTAACATATAAGAAGTCAATTATTGTTGTACTTGACTGTCTATATTCTCAAGATTAATATCAATAAAGTTATATGAAGATCCCTTTTCTTTGTATACCTGTCATTAAATTTCTTATCACAATGTTGTATCTGTTGTGTGATAGAATATTCAGGATAGTGAAAAGATTTACTGTATTAGTATTATATGAAGATTATACCATACACAAATGGCAAAATATTTGACCGGTTCTGTTTATTATGTCTAGGGAATTAATTTGATTCAAATTCGAGTGCAAGAATACTTGATCATGTAAAAAAAAAAAAAAAAAAAGCGAATGGCAGAAATCCTTACTTTAGTAATGAAATTCATTGTATTTCAAAGCTTATTGAAGCTCTAGATTTGAATTATTGGCGATATGCAGAGTAAAAAATGTTGTGTGTGAAGAAACGACGGCAATAAAGTGAAAAACAGATCTAGAAAAATTATAGCATAAAATGCAATACAATATTTACGTGGTTCGGCAAATTGTCTACGTCCACGGAGCTGCAGAGGATTTTATTAGCTTTGAGGATTACACCGTCGACCACGTCGACTTATATGAAAGAATTCTCTCTCTCTCTCTCTCTCCTCACATTTTCTCTCTCTCTAAACTGAGAGTCACATCAAGAAGAAGAAAGACAACTTTTAAAGAAAAACTTCATTGTGATTCTTTTATTTCAGTCTCACGACAAAGTATAATCCAATGAGAGAAAGCTGTTTGGAGAGTAATACCCATCCCTGTAATCGTGAGCCCCTTTTAAAGCTTCACAGTATCCAACTTGTTTTGGTAACCCTTAATTTCGTGATTCCATGGAATCATGCTAATGTGACCCATATAAAGCC